GGGTGATGTGGTGCATTGTTTTTTTTTGTGAGGAAAGAGTGTAAAGCACGAAGGGTGATGCGTGTATGATTGTGAGGAAAGAGTGTAAAGCACGAAGGGTGATGCCGTGCCGCACGATGTACCATTCGTGACACCAGGTCTTGGCACACACATTAGTAGACTGTATTATTTTGGGGTTGTATGATTATTTTTAGCTTTACTGATCATTTCTGATTTGATTTCAACTTAAGGAATCATTGCAACTATTTTGGGTAAAAGTAAATGAGAGCTTATTTAGTATTTTCCGCATTGGCTTTCCCGGCAATGGTGTTGGGCGCCATCATGACCTATTATGGAAATGGGTCGTGACAGAGACGGATATCCTATTTGTACTAATCTATTTTTTACTTGGTACTAGGATGTGTTTGTGTTAAATTCAAACCTTTAGTTATGGTTGTTGTACTTTTTTGTGTTGAAATGTTATGTTATAAAATTTCAATCTTCATATTAAACGATGTATTTTTTTTGAATTATTTATCATTCAAAAAATTAAATTACTAGAATAATTAAATTATTTAATTATTTATCATTAAATGCACCATGGGAAAGTTAAATGGGTTGGTGTGTTATTAATGTATAGTCTCATACTCTCATATACTCAAACATTAAAGACCTAAAAACACACTATCCTACAAACACTAACTATGGACGCCTCTCACTCTACCAAACGATGCCTAACTTACTCTTCTAATAGTGAGGATGAAGAAGAGAATCCTCCAACTTTTGAAGTGGTTATGACTGATTCATACATCAACTACGACGATCTGGTAAATTATTATGTCTTTTAAACTTTATTTCTTTGAATATTACAATAACTTCTTGAGTTAATCCTAACTGACTTTTTTTTTTACATAAAATACTTTTGCTTCTTATACCTTAACTCCAGCAAATATATATGCGTCAGTATTGTATATGTTGATTGAGTTTCATATTTTCTGAAACTTAATAGTAATGTTTTTTCTTAAAGTATATTCCAAGAAAAATCTACAAGCATCTCCCCCCAACAGTAGACACCGCGCTTCTTCACTATCGTGGCAAAGAGTGGTATGTAGATATGAGCGTTGGTGATAGAAGAAGGTTCAAGGCAGGCTGGAAAGTTTTTGTTTTGGACAATTATGCCAAGCGAGGATTCACCGTCAAATTTACGTTAGTTGATGTTGCACCACTATATGTTGACTTCAAGGTTGAATTGAAGGGAGAAGGAACTTCTGATAATAATCCGGTTGAATTGATTAGGATTTGTATTGTGATTTTCTATCCCACTATATTTTAATTTCATGTATGTTGATGTGCTAATGTTATGAAATTACAATCGTCATATTGGTCTTCTTTACCATAATAATTTTATTTTTCAATGGAATGTTTAGTAAATGCCTTTTTTTTTTAATTCTTCCTTATGGTAGCAGTGTCCTTTATATCTACCCTTTCAATATACAAAAATATTGAAAGGGGAATAAAGAGCAAAAATACAGAAGAAAATAATAATAATAATAATAATAATAATAATAATAATAATAATATAAAATAATAGTAAATGCTTCATAGGGAAGTTAAATAGGTTAATGTATTGTAAGATCTAGTAAATGCTACTAAGGGAAGTTAAATGGGTAGATGGAACGGTTACACTGATTTTACAATGAACTCTTGGAGTATTTGGTTGAAGTTAATGTCAGAAATTGGTTGCAGTTGAATGTTGAAATTTTCTGGGGAAAAAATCGTGCAATGTAAGGGTTGAAGGTAGGGATACCAAGATAGGTGTTGAAGGTAGGGTTTTAAGTTGAATGTTGAAAGTAGGGTTGAAGGGTAGGGTTTTAGTAACTAAATGTGAGTATTTTAGTTCTTAGTTTGAACTGATTATAATGTTCTGAAGTCTTTCACTTCTAATCACATTTTGTTAGTGTTGTCCTCTAAACAAAAATGAAGTAACAATAAAATAAAGAAATATTTAACAATGACAATTATAATATCACACGTTTAAATTATTACAGAACAAAGTCAAAAAATTCAAAAAAAAAAATCTATATCAAATCAAATTAAATAAGATTCAAACTTAAATCATCTCAAACTAAACGGTCAAGTCTTCTATCTCCCAGTTTGCTTCATCGTTTAGATCAGGCAAGCTACTCTGTGGTGGTACTGTTGCATCATCTTGCTGTATAGAGTAAATAACACTAATAAGCAATGTATTTTTCAAAAAAATTATAATAATAATTTGTTATACTTTACCTCAATTCCTTCCGCTAGCCCAGTATTTCCACCACCTCTGCCACCACCTCTACCACGGCCTCTACCACCACCTCTACCACCACTTCTACCATCACCTCTGCCACCACCTCTACCACCACCTCTACCCCTCCTATTACCTCTAACTCCACTTCCACCAGCCGTTTGTGAACTTCTAAAGTATGAATCAGTTCGCCCTCTATATCTATTCAACCTTGGACGTCCACGAGAAGCTACGTATCTAAGATCTCTTATATTTCTTCCTTCACCATCACCCTCACCTTCACCCTCACCCTCACCCTCACCCTCACCCTCACCCACACCATCATGTGTATCTTCAAATTCCAAATCTGGAATTATTATTTGATCATCATCCCAATTCAAAAGGTCATGCTCCAATCTGTTCAAATGATACTTAATATATCGTCTCATCACTTTAGTGTCCAATGCAATATCATAAAACCGTTCAAAATGCTTTAATAGTTCCCTGTACATCATGTATTCAGAAGTTATACTTGGGTAACCTCCAAGAAAGAAACGTTTCAAGTGCGGACGAACAACATATTTTCTCCACCTTCTCAATATATACCTCTCATTAACGTTATTAATCCCCTTATGAGACAACACCTTAAGTATATGGCAGCATAGAATACCTCTTGTTTCAAACCACGTGCAGCTGCGACTTAGATATTCGCCAATAGGTGTATATTCAGCCGTGAATACAAATGGATCTCTAGTGTTAAAACTCCTGAACGAATAATCTGAGATAATGTAATTCTCCACTCCAGCTGTTGCTTGATGGTCTTTAGGGGTGCTGATTTCACAATGGTACAGTTTCCTTAACTATACTTGAAAAAATTCAAACACTTCACGAGTATAACATGTTTGAAATTTTTCCTCCCATGCAAATTCAGATAAACATTTTGGTTCAAAGCACCTTGACCTATATTCAGCTTCCAATTCTTTCTCGAACTTAGCTCTTATGGCTAACTCATATTGCTGAACAAATAGCTTCAAAGTGCTTTGCCGGGTGATGAATCCGTCAAAGAAAGCACGCATTCCTTCACTTCTTTGTGTGAAAAATATCCCAGCCCAAAAGTGGTCATTTAGGTATACAGGAACCCATTTCTCCTTCTCCAAATAAAGCTTATAAAACCAATCCCTTTCCTCTAAGTTATATTTTTCAATATAATCAGTACATCATCTCTCAAACTTAGCAACGTTAATGCTATCAAGGACTAAAGCCTTAAATTCTGCCTTTGCAATCTTACCATCAAGAACTCCGCTTAACTTCGTAGGCAACTTTGGGAATATGTGCCATATACAATATCTATGTACCGTATTTGGCATCATAGCATTGATGGCAGCCTTAATACTATCACATTTGTCAGTCATGATAGCTAATGGATGAATATTGTTTAGAGCCCCAAGCCATGTAGATAGCACCATTTTGTAACTTGTTATATCATCACTAGACATAAAAGCACATCCCAAAAGTATGGACTGCCTATGCTGATTGACACCAACAAATGAAGCAAATGGCATATTGTATCGATTCACAAGGTATGTGGTATCAAGGCATATTACATCATGGAACTCCTCATATGCAACCTTAGAGTGTGAATGAACCCATACGACATTACAAAGTCGACCAAAACTATTCACATCTACGGAGTAGTAAAATTCCCTATCTTTTTGCTGCATGTCTTTGAAGAACTTGAGTAATGATTGTGCATCCCCTTCTTGCAACTGACGCTTTCTACTCTTCAAGATATAATTTCTACAGTCCTTTGGTGTACAACCCAGATTTTCGGGGCCACCAGCAAGTACTTCAGCGACTCTTATATTTTTTGAGGGTCTTAAGCCAGCAATATCTTTGGCTGCAAGAGTTCTCTTAAGAGACTTACTAAGCGATCTGTGTCCAGCCATTAATCACGATCTGTGTGCTGCTATTCGGGTTTAATGGCTCCAAACTAGTTTTTCGCATTCATGTTTAGGTTAAGGGAAGTGTGGTGAATTATGTGTTTAATGAAAGCTCTCTTAACATAAGTATATGGTATGACAAGGAACAACGTATAATGTATACATAATAGACTTTTGATCTTCCCATCCGTATAAATTGCATTTAAAAAAAATACGTAATTGTATTTAAAACAACGTAATGAGCATATATGCGAAGGCTTTTTATCTTCCCATGCTGAGAGAATGATGATTTATGGGATCAATGTTTTGAGATAATCAACATTTATTAACTAATTTTGGAGGGAAATATTTTGGAGGGAAAAAATGGCCATTAAGCCAAACTCCAAAATAAGGGCTTTACTGGTATTTCACGGGTGTGGTCATTGTTGGGCCACGCTGAGTTTGGCCGAATAGCAGCACTCTTTAGGTTTAGTACATATTAGTTCAATTAAATATTTATAAGAAAAAAACTCAAATGTATTGACAACTTAATGCCATTGGTAAGAGCAACTCAAGAGTCTTGTGCAAAACTAACAACGTAGGCCCTCAATGCATTACAAGTTCCTAAAAGATTATTGCTCTTGAAAAAACTAAAAGGCATTTGGAGAAATGAAAAGTTATCAACTATTACCAATATATGCATCATTTCCAATGAAATGCAGTAATTCCAACAGACATCCAAAGAACAAACTCTTTTGTTTACCGACTATAAGAATTACCGGAGTTCCTATTTTTCTCATTTCCAAATCTTTGTGTAACTATTTTTTGTATGTGTTATGGACAGACTAACCAAGAAACATAAGTGTCAATCTGATGAAGCTCCCCCTAGATATGGATTCGATTCCCTACCTCAAGAAACAGTTATTGACATAGCTTCTAGGCTTCCCATAACATCTTTAGTCCAATTCAAGTTTGTTCGCAAAACATTCTACAACTTGTGTCATGATCCAGAGCTTGTGAATTTGCACCTGTCTCGTGCAGTAAAGAACAATCCTTGCATTATTTTTCAAGTGGACGATAGTCAGCTTTGCTTTCTTGAACTTTCTGGTCTTGGTACGGAAAATGTTGTGAGGAAAATCAGCACCCCTTTTGCAAGCTTGATGCTAAAATTATATGGTTCATGTCATGGGCTATTGTGCATATGTGATTGTCTGCTTAGTGATGCACTTTATGTGTACAATCCTTTTACAGGAGACTACAAGCAGCTGCCTTGCCATATCAGTGTATTTGAGGAATTGGTTCTAGGGTTTGGTTTTCATCCTATTACCAAAGAGTACAAGGTGATCAAGGTCATAAATTATGTCACAAATAATATTATTGCCAATTTGCTTCATGATGACGACCGTTCATTAGATGTTTCAAAGTTGAAGTATTTACTCTTGGTGCCAACGGTTTGAGAAGAATTGAGAAAGTTGATTACCTTATTGATTCAAAGTATCAAGGAGTTATGTTAAACGGGAAGATGCATTGGTTGACTCGATTTGGAAAGTTTTATGGACGTTGTGATAGGCTTATCGTTTCCTTTGATTTAGCTGATGAGGTATTTGCTGAAGTTCCAAAGGTTAATTTTTTTGCCAAGCCAAGAATTCATGAGTATCATCTAGCAGTTCTCAGAGATTGTCTTGCTGTTTCTATAGCGCCTCACCGAAAAAGGGGAGGAATAGAAATTTGGGTAATGAAAGAATACAATGTGAAAGAATCATGGGTGAAGGAGTTCATAATAGGGCTCATGCACCAGCTCCAAATTCTGGCATGAAACATTTGGTGAAAGTTTTATGCCTGTTGAAGAATGGAGAGCTCTTGCTTCAGTACAACGGTGGTAAGTTGGTTTTATATGATCCTAAAAATGGTGTCTTTAGGACTCTAAAGCTTAAGGGAATGCGTTGTTATTTGCCGCTGACATATGCTCATGTGGGTTGCCTTATCCAACCTCCTCCTCTTTTTACAAAATTAGTTCATCAATAAGCTTACCAGACACCTTTCATGTGGTCATATCTGTTCAGCACTTTGTTGCTTTGTTTTCTGAAATGTTTCTTATGTGTAATGTCTAAAGATTATGTGATCTTCTGAATATATCAGTCTATGCTTCATGTTAACCTTGAATATGTAATACATACATCATGGCTGAAATTTCAATAAACCAATTACCAATGTCAAAAGCCAGCCATTCTACTCTCCCTATATATGCACGTTTTGAAGCCCTCAAAACAAACAAAATCGTCTATTATTATCACATTTTGGAGTTGGTAGTTGAAGTTGCTTTGTTCATGGGAAGGCAGAATAGTGATCCTAATATTGCAGCCCTTCTATTGCATTACTACAAGCAAGGTTCAGGCAACTAGAAAGAGAAAAACAGCAGAGAGAAAGCGGAACAATAAAATCGTTCTCACAGCCCCATGTAATGACTTCAGCCAAGAATTTTGTCGCCGTCCAGCCAAACTTATATGCCAGTCTCTTTTTAAGTGTTTAAAGAAGAGTCCGGAACCTAAATATTGGCCAAAAATTGAGTTTGGCCAAGCTTTTCGAAGGAAAAAAAGTGCTTTTGAGGAGAAGCATAAGCAGTTTTGGAGAAGCATAAGCACTTTTTGAGAACCACTTTTGAGAAAAATACAGTTAGAAGCAGTTTTTTAAAGCTTGGCCAAACACTAATTGCTGCTCAGAAGTGCTTTTCAAACTAATTAGCTAAATACAAACTGCTTCTCACTAAAAGTACTTTTGAGAAAAACACTTTTGAAAAGAAACAATTCTCAAAATAAGCTGATTTTTGCAGCTTGGCCAAACGGGCTATAAGACTATCGGCGAAAATGTTTTCTATGAATAAATTATTTCATGATGTTTAGTTATCAAAAAATATTTTTCAGAAAGACATTTTCCTATCTAAAGGAGAACGTTGACTTTCCTTCACTACTTAATGCCGAAAGTCATTTTCACAGTGTTAAATTTTGCTTCATATTACTTGTTCCAAGACATTATCAATAAATTTTGGTACCAAATGTTTTCTTTAAAATACTGTTAAAATTGCTAATATTATTAATAACCTTTAATATATATTTTTTTTCAAAAAAATATTTATCATTCACCAGCCTAACATCGAAAATCATTTTCAACAAAAAAACAACTTCGACGCTTGAATATAGTTTTTTTTTTATATGAAACTTTAGAATAAATTTTGGTTCTAGGTATCTATGCTAATAATTTTTTTATCATTTTGAACTCATAACACCATAACTCGAATTATGAACCTTCGTGAACATTAAATTATTCGTTACATAAATATCAATAATTTGACCGAGCTAAGCTATTATACACATGCTTTGGCTTTTGAAGTTTTTCCCTTTTTATTGCGTGTGCATAGGCCTCATTTGTTTGCACTTAATGGAGGTCTGAATCTTAATCATTCAGATCTCAGACATTAAGTGCGTTTGTTTTTAAAGTCTGAATCTTAATTATTCAGATCTTAATCATTAAGTGTTTTGTTTTTTTTACTTCAGAACTACTTAATGAGTCTGAATAGGTCTGTATGATTGCAGAGACTTGATTTCTTTAAGATGCTATCACATATTCATTATTAACTGCCGCCACTGCCTACCATTATCAACTACCACCATGCCACCACCATCCTCAATCATAATCGCCACCACTACCAATCACTACTAGCTACTAGCGTGAACCACCATCGTCAACAAAAACTACCACCAACCACCGCCTCTAGTCGGCATTCATCCGTTAGCCATCACCACCACCAACTATCATATTTTAAAAAATTATATATTTTATTGAAAGAATATTAGATTAGTTGGTATTTCACTTGAATTTTATGTTTCTTAATTTTCAAATAAAGATAAATTTTATACATTCAAATGTTAAAAATCAAACAGTCTTAATTATTTAGTATTCAGATTTTAATACACATCTTAATATATTCAGATATGTATTCATGTCTTAATCTTTAAAAAAAAAAAAAACAAATGACGGCCTAAGTCTTATACATGTTGTATAGCAGTTTGTATACACGTGAGATTTGGAAAAACCCCTAGTTTGTCCAAAAATACAACTCCTCTCCCTTATCTTTTAATTTTTAAAATTATACAATTTCTATTCTATATCTCATGAAATTAACCCTTTATTGTTTTGCAAAGAAATGAGTAAGGCTAAGTAGACATGGTGCAAATTAGTACTAAAAAGTGCATACTATAGCAGTACAAATACAAAGAACTCATTGAAATATCGTTACTTTATATAGCATTAAGGTGCCTAAAAAGTGCTTCTTCTACCATGGAAATCTTTAAATGACTATCTTAACGAGAGGTATATGACTAGACCAGTTTGCATTAGTATTAGCAAGTTCATATTTTACATACAGAATATGAAACAGCTAGCTCCACAAATTTTACATATTAAAGGCTATTCATTTCACTTTCCGGGTACAAAGTTAGTGGCAAAAGCCCAAGCGTTGTTGGCTACAGGGTCAGCAATGTGATCGAAAAGGTTTTCAATTGGTCCCTTTCCAGTGACAATGGCTTGAACGAAAAATCCAAACATTGAGAACATAGCCAATCGGCCGTTCTTGATTTCCTTCACCTTCAACTCAGCGAATGCCTCTGGATCATCAGCGAGCCCTAGTGGGTCAAAAGCTCCTCCCGGATAGATCTTGTCAAGACCTTCGCCCAGTGGGCCTCCGCCAACTCTGTATCCTTCAATTAAACCCATGAGCACAACTTGGGATGCCCAAATAGCAAGAATGCTCTGTGCATGAATAAGGTTTGGGTTACCAAGGTAGTCAAGACCGCCTTCTGAGAAGATTTGAGATCCAGCCTTGAACCAAACTGCCTCACCGAATTTAACACCATTCTTGGAAAGGATTTCAGGGAAGACACAACCCAAAGCACCAAGCATGGCCCAACGACAATGGATCACCTCAAGCTCACGGTTCCTGGCGAATGTTTCAGGGTCAGCTGAGAGTCCAGCGGTGTCCCACCCATAATCACCCGGAAACTCACCAGTCAAGTAAGATGGAGTTTGCTCGGAGAATGGTCCCAAGTACTTTGGTCTGTCTTCTCCATACCTATTTCATCAAACCACAATCTCATCAAGCTCTAGATTTATCAAATTACATTTTTACTTTTTCGGTGGATTATAATATCAGTTTATTAAATATCTTTTAAATTTTTAGTGTATCTAAATAATTGACACCAAAAGAAATCTTGACGCAACAACTAGAATTGTCGTGTGACCATGAGGTTAAAAATTTAAGTCATGAAAATAGTTGCTTGCACAAATGCGAGGTAAGGTTGATCATAATATACATAATATGGTCCGGCCCTTTTTTCAAATTTTGTGCATAGCGAAAATTTAGTGCAGCAGACTGCTTATAAATAATCGACACGAACAACTCATGAATATATAATACATTCAAGATGGGAGAAGAAATTACCAAATGCTTTGTGGGGCACTTTTAACGGTACGTCGCATAGTGGCACGTCCACCATTAAAGCTACCAATCTTTCTAACGAGCTCATTTTGTGACTTAAGAGCTGTCTGTCCAGCAAATGCAGATTGTTGAATTGCAGAAGTAGCCATTTGTAAGATTTTTGATCTTATTTGTGCTGATGCTAAGTTTGAAAACTATGAAAAGACTTGCTCTATATTACATTGCTTGGGAAAGGAAGGTTTTTATATGGAAATTAATGGATTTTGAGGATCACAAAGTGTACACCTAAGCAGAAGCTGATTGGTTCTTGCTTTGGATTTGGATTTCCCTTCTGATTTTTTCAGTGAAAGAATGAGGCCTTTGGTTAGCCATTTGGCTGTTGAATATCTCTTGGCTGAGATTGTTCTTTAAGATATATACAGTACACTGGACCATGTTCACGTGTTGGATAATTACAAAGCAGTAATCTCACTTTGGACCGACATTAAAGTTGTTTCCGTATGACCTATAAGTCACGAGTTTGAATCGTAAAAGCAGTCATTAATGTTTGCATTAGAGTAGGTTGTCTATATCACACATGTATGATGCTTTGTGCATTGAGCTGCCATTTTTTTCTTTAAACTCCGACTTGCTAAGAAAATTAACAATAAATAGCTCTGTTTAAGTAAATGAGGAAGAAAAAAATAAATCTAAACCGATATTTAATTTTTACGAAATATTATTAAGAAAAGCAACAAGAACGAAAACTATGTTGGAACATTTTAAAGGCAACCCGATGCACTAAGTTATAATTGTAAGGAACATCCAAAAAAGAGTAAGATCTCGTTGAATCTATTATAGATATTTTTACCTTGCATTTTTGCGAGAAGCTCGTACAATTAAATTCTATATAAGTGAATGAATATTAAGTCAATCATTCAGATGTAATAACATAAGTACATAAGAGCATGTAACTTCTATCAAATTCAAAATCATACACCAAAAACTGACTATATTACTTTCTGTCTATTATTACAGAACATAAATTTTTTCTTATTTGAGTATGCAACAAGATCAATCTAATTAAGATTAACATAAAAATCTTGATCCAGCAGATTATTACTATAATTAATAAAGAATAGAATTACATCACGCCAAATAATAAAATTATTTGAGCAAGAAAGTGGTATCAAAATCTACTACCACCGTGGCCCCATCCTTCTCCGAAACCAAAACCACTACCACCATCTTTATCACCACCGCCGCCTCCACCACCTCCTCCACCGCCGCCACCACCATTTGCACCTGACCCATGACCCTCGCCATATCCAAAGCCGACACCAGACCCACCATTACTACCTCCACCACCACCTCCGCCGCCTCCACCACCGCCACCACTGCCGTTCGCTCCTGATCCGTGACCCTCGCCATATCCAAAGCCGATGCCAAATCCACCATCACTACCCCCTCCTCCACCTCCTCCACCTCCGCCACCTCCACCGCCGCCACCAAGACCTCCTAGAATTTGGTCAAACCCTCCGTTTAAGTCAAAATTGGGTAAAAATGAATCCCCCAGAAGCTTCCTTGCACAGGAAGTTTGAACGAGAACACCCAAAACAACAAGAAGCATTAACTTGTATGCCATCTTTGCTAAAGTATTAGAATATAGGATTTAATTAATTAAGGTACTATGGAAACTCTGTATAGGAAGGAGATTATATAATGGCATGGTCAGCTAATGTGTTTAAATTACATTAATTAAACGTTGCAAAACGGAAAAATTAACTTGAAATGAACTGAATGTAGTTGAACATTAAAAGGATTTGGGATGTCAAATACAATGCAAAAGTGAAAAGTACCTGCGATATACTAGCAATCTACATTAATGCCTCCTAAGGCTCATTATGCATTAATTTTTCCAAAATGTTCAAAAAACTACAATTCCTCCAAGAGGCGGAGCTAGGATTTCAAGCTTATAGGTTCGGAATTCTTATCGTGTTATGTATACGGTAGAGATCGAATGCTTTCGATCTATATACTTGAGAGGTCGTTTGAAGTCCGAGTCCGGACAAACCAAGCTCGAGCTCGAGGGACCAGGCTCGAGTTCGAAGACGAAGCACGATGCATACCGAGGTCGAGTGTGTCCTGCCCCGAAATAGTACCGTTATGGATTTGTACCAGAACGAGTTAGATTCCTGCCACATCCCCAAAGTCATGCGCAAATCCCGGAATATGATCGTACTATTCCGTACTAGGTGGTTAGACAGCTGTACCAAGAATATTCCCTACTGTAAATAGAAATATTCCTTATTTAGGGTTCCCCTATTATATAAAGGGGACCCCAATCATTTGTAACACCATCTTTGACTCGGAAAAGAATATACTCTCTAGCTTTTTGCCTATTGTTCATCGGCATTGTCCTTTAGCTCCATTGTTCTTACTTTACTGCTCTTAGCCTATCTCGAGGTCACCGTCTCGAGGTCACCACTGTCAAGTATTATTGATTTGATTCACTTCTATCTTTCATTTCTACTTCATATTTCTTGATTACTATTTGATATTGAACTAAATCACATATCTTTAAAACCACAAATCAAGTTTAATTGTTACTCGTATTTTCGAGGTAAACAGTTTGGCGCCCATCGTGGGGCTAAAGATAATAGTGATTATTTCATTACTGATTCTCATTACACACGTTATCTTTACACTTTTTCTTTTCAAGATTTTTGATTCTCAAGCTTGAACATGTCTAGCACACAAAACGCACATGTTCATGACCATGACGGCCTTGGAGAAAATAGCAATGCAGGGGTCACCGATTAGCCCAAGGGAAGTGCCAAATGCAGAATCAGTTGAGGTTAGCTCGCACATCACTTTGAATGCAGATCTAGGCGCGGACCCCGAAGGAAATATGCACAGGTAAGCCCGATCCGGTGGCCAAAGAACACAAGGAATGGGAGATGGGGGAGTCAGCCTCCAAGTGATATTTGAGATGCTGCAAGCTCAGCAAATCACCATCGCCCAACTTCAGAGTCAGAATAAAACTCCAAACACTGCCGAACCAGTAAACACACGGCGCACTGAACCATCGTTAGAAAGGCACGATGAAAGTGGCTCGGGGACTGACCCCACGATTATGAAAATGCTCGAAGAACTCACCAAGAGGATCGAGTCCGGAGAAAAGAAGATCAAAGATAATGAGAAGAAGGTGGAGACTTATAACTCCTGTGTAGACCAGATACCAGGGGCACCTCCAGCTTTGAAAGGTTTAGACGCAAAAATATTCATACAAAAACCATTCCCTCAAAGTGCGGCTCCGAGCCCATTCCCAAAAAGTTTCGCATGCCCGACATACCCAAGTATAACGGAACAACAAACCCTAACGAACATATTTACTTCATACACTTGTGGGATCAAAGGAAATGACTTGAACGATGATGAAATCGAGTCAGTGTTATTGAAAAAGTTTGGGGAAACACTCTCAAAAGGAGCTATGATTTGGTATCACAACTTAGCCCCTAACTCTATCGATTCATTCGCTATGTTAGCAGACGCATTTGTTAAGGCCCACCCGGGGCCATAAAGGTGGCCACAAGGAAATCAGATGTCTTCAAAATAAAACAAAGGAGCGACGAGATGTTAAGGGAGTTCGTGTCCAAGTTTCAGATGGAAAGAATGGAACTGTCACCGATCCCTGACGACTGGGCAGTACATGCCTTTATGCAGAGTTTGAACGAGCTAAGCTTGATTGCTTCTCGATAACTGAAGAAGAACGTGATCGAGTACCCAGCTGTGACGTGGTCAGATGTGCACAACCGTTATCAATTAAAAATCAGGGTTGAGGATGATCGATTAGGAGCCCCCTCGGGTTCAGTTCATCCTAACCGGTTTACGACCAAGCCCACGAGGGATACGAACAGGGAGTCGAGATCGAACAGGGAAAGGTATCAACCGTATGTCGATCAAAGGAATCACAGTTCGGAATGAAATGCTCCCCGGAACGACCAGAGAAATGATCGAGGCCAGAGCTCTCGAGGACTCACGAGTAAGAGCGGGTTCGATAAGCATACCGGTCCCGTTGAGGCTCCTTGATTATCAGAATATAACTTCAACGTAGATGCATCGGGGATTGTCTCAGCTATTGGGAGAATCAAATATACCAAGTGGCCCAAGCCTATACAAACCGATCCACCTCAAAGGAACCCAAACTTGATGTGCAAATATCTTGGCACACATGGTCATAGAAGGGAATATTGCCGGCAGCTAAGGGAAGAGGTGGCTCGGTTGTTCAACGAGGGCCACCTTCGGGAATTTCTAAGTGATCGGGCTAAGAATCACTTCAGGGAGAGAGACACAAGGAAAAATGAGCAAGAAGAACCACATCATGTTATCCACATGATCGTCAACGGAGTCGATGTCTCTCAACGACCTATATTCAAGCGCACCAAAGTATCAATCACAAGGGAGAAACGGACACGGAGCTATGTGCCCGAGGACGTCCTATCATTCTGTGACGATGAAGCAGAGGGCATATCCTAGACTCACAACGACGCCCTAGTAATCTATATCCTTTTAAATAAAATTCAAGTTAAATGTGTTTTAGAGGATCCAGGTAGCTCAGCGAACATAATCAGATCGAGGGTCGTGGAACAACTCGGCCTGCAAGACCACATTGTACTTGCATCCCAGGTGCTGAATGGATTCAACATGGCAAGCGAAACAACAAAGGGAGAGGTTATCTTGCCAGTAAACGTAGCCGGGACCATACAGGACACCAGGTTCCATGTCATCGAAGGCAACATGAGGTATAACGCACTCCTTGAGAGACCGTGGATACACAACATCAGGGCAGTGCCTTCGACGCTTCACCAGATAATGAAATTCCCTACTGAGGAAGGAGTGAAAACAGTCCACAGAGAATAGCATGCTGAAAAAGAGATGTTTGCAATCGAGGAAGTAGTGTCGATACCAGAACCCTTGGCCTCGGAGAAATCGAGCTTCAAAGGCAAGCAGATGGTTAAATAGCAACCACAACTCCCGGCCTCGATGGAATCAGAACAGCATGTAATCGAAGTCAAAGAAGAGGATTTCCTCACTCCACGAACCTTCGTCGTTCCCGAAGAGTCCGACGCCACCTAGTTAACTGCCTGAGAGAAAGGTACACCTAAGAACGGGATTAACCCCCGAACTCAGAAAAAAATATGCATTCAGTTTCTTATCGATAATATGGATTACTTTGCTTGGTCCCATTTAGCTGTAACCAGAATTCCGCCGGAAACCGCCACACATCGGTAGAGTACCGATTCCAGGTTCAAACCGGTGAAGCAAAAAAAAAAGGGGGAGGCCTCAGACCAAGAAGCTATGTACCGATGTCCAGTTAACAGGATGAGCAAAGAACAGACATGTAAAACAATGAAAGCCTATATTGATGATATGACTAGTTAAGTCCCTGCACGCAGAGGACTATTTTAATCCATTTGCAGGAAACATTTGAATTTTCGATGCAATACGACATGAAGCTTAATCCAGGGAAATATGCCTTCGGAGTTGGCTCGGGTAAAATTCTCAGCTTCTGGTGTCAAAACGGGGCCCGAAATCATCCCCGACAAGTCCAAGGCTACAAATTCTTCATGACGGAAGCTCTTGAAAGTGCGCGATCTCGAAGACACCCTTTTTACACGAAGACCTTAGGTTTTAAAGCATATGTTGCACTTTTTTCCCTTGGCTCAAATTTTGTCCCAAATGGGTTTTACCGGCAAGGTTTTTAACGAGGCAACAACTATGTGCTGCCTAAGGAAAACTCAACAATATCCATGGTTTCTTTTTAATCAACCTCGAATACTGGGGGGCATCACCCTCGGAGGTTATATTTTCAAGGAAAATACTTCATGCCTAAGAGGGCCTCGATAGGGAAACTTTGTAACGGTCCAAACGGTCAGATGAACCGTGTCAATATAATAGTCAAGCCCCGACGGCAAAGCATGTATGCATTTATCAATTATTTGAAGAAGCGTTATGTTAATATCAAAAAACACTTTGTGTACCAAAGAAGTCTACTATTACACGAGCTCTACACTTATAATCCTACGGGAAATGGCTCGAGAGCCAAAGCATAAAAGCACCCCCGAATACTCGGGGACTGTCATCGACTACATCTGAGTCATCGAAAACTCGGACTTATAAGACCTCAAAGGGGCACCCTCTAAAAACAAAGGCCAAGGCCAATATACACGGGGACTAACTTTTCGAACAAGTTCGGAAAGTTATCGGGAAACAAGTCCAAGTGACATACACGAAGGCTACTGCCATACTAAAGACTATAGCCATATAAAGGCTACGGCCAAAATAATATGGCTCGGAGACGTCCGACTTCCGCTATATATTAAAGGCCTTCAAACATTGAAAAAACGGCTAAATCAGGCTACCCTCGGCAAAAGCAAAATATGCATGGTTTCGATAAATTCATCCCTAAAACAATCCAAGGGCTTCGATAATATCGGCCTTCGGAAATACCTCAAGAGGTATTCAATTATGTTTACACAAACAAATTACTAATGAACCTTCGAAAAAACCTAAGGGTACAAAAAACACGTGCTAAGGCATAATTAAATTTTCACTAAGTCTTTTAGCCGAAATGAGGGAAAA